CTCTCCGAAGTGGAGTGGCCCACAAGTGTCGCCCACCCACTCGGCGCCATCAGCGGCCCAAAGTGCAAACTCGGTGAAGCCGAACCGCGCGTGTCCCCGAGAACAACGTGAGGTCTGTGAAACATGTCAGAAGATGATTTTGGGGGAAACTGCACCAACGCAAGATTTGGAAATGCGTCATCTGAGTCCATGTCCATTTATAAAGAAGCCTCATGCCCGCCCGGCTATTTTGCGGGCTTGGTAACAGCACATACTCGTGAAGTCGCTAGCAGGCTTCATCCAGCCATCTGAGTCCATGTCCATTTATAAAGAAGCCTCATTCATGCCCGCCCGGCGATTTTGCAGGCTTGGTTAAAGCACATACTCGTTAAGTCACGAGCAGGCTTCATCCAGTGCCAAACGTGATTTATCTCCCTTGCCTTTCGTTTAGTCTTACGTTTTCTGTTGTCTTCTTCTTCTTTTTCGTTTACCAGGCCATTTATCAAACCAAAACGCTGCCCAAAGATCACTTAAGCAAGCAAAAACGGGAAACATTTCCATTCCTCAGCAAAGAAGCGGTCAAAGGTTTCACATTCTGTAATTGCAATGTGTGATGGCGTAAATGTTAAAAGAGCGTGAAGTGATTTCAGGGATTTGTTTCTGCGCACATTAAATATATTTGAAGGTAAGTGCTGAAAAGGTGCAAATACTGAGAAGAATCTAGGACTGGAGTTAAACTAAAATACAAGGATATTTGAAAGTGACAGGCCGAGCTGCAACGTTAGCTTCTGGCACTCGTCACGCACGATGCTTGAGACTAGAAAGCAAACGGTATTGGATTGTCTCTGTATGATGAGTTTTGATGTTTTTACATTTGTGGCAAATTCCATTTCATACAATGGAGAAACTTTGTTCCGAAAGTCCACCCAATATAATTTCAACCAGGGACCCGGAATGAATTGTAGTCAAAAGAAGGCGCAGTACTCGACGGCATTCAGGTTAGTCACTGAACATGCACAGCAAACGGAGACAAAGATTCTCTCTATACGTGACACTACACGGCTGCTCTTCACTGCTGGGTCGCCCATTCTGAACACGACTTCTTGACTCACAGGCGAGGCGTTAAGAGGTGATTTAGTGGCCAATTAACACTGCTCATTGTGTCGACATCTCTCCCTTCTGTGCTGCGTCTCAATCACATTGGGGGGGGGCGGGGGGGGGCCCACTCGGCAAGATTATACACAGAGAGGAAAAAGATGGATGGAACCAATTTTCCACCCCGCAACTCTTTTGTGTTCTTCGCCTCTCTGGATGTATAAGGGGCTCACTTCTATTTCTGACGATGGCTGAGACAAGCCCGCTTTCACCGGCTGACATGCCGAGAAATAAAACCCACACACTCTCCAAGGTCTAATCAGAATGACACAGGTGCGCGCGCGCACACACGCGCACGGACATACAAACACGCACGCAGGCTAGCCTGAAAAAAAAAAAAAAAGACTTGTTCCCGGTTGAAATCATTAAAGTCATCAAACACGAGAGTCTGGAGATAATGACCTCGGTGGAGGGGGATCCCCTCCCCCCCTACGCCCAACCCGATGTCCACACAAGATAACACATATTCCATCTTTCCACCACTTTGCACAAGTGGATGAAACAAGGGTTGAGCAACTTGAAACACCCACAATTACGCTCATTTACAGCACTACACTTTCACTCTGGGACTCCACTTGATTCATATTGACAAAATCCTTCATTTTCTAGCCCGACAGTTCATCTCCCGGCTGCTATTTTAGCACCTATTTCATTAAGCCCCCCCACACTCGTCACTAGAATAGTCCCCCGACCAGCCCCCGCCCCTTTCCTCTGATTAGGTGACTGTCGAAAGGCTGCGATTCGTGGGCGTTATCGGGCATCAAGCCGATGACTGTGTAGACATCTGTGACAAGTCGACTTTTACTTTTTTTAAAAGAGTGCTGCGAAACTTTTCTTTTAACACACGTCAGCCTCATAATTATATACTGGTAATTTGATGACGTACGATAACTTTCGACACTGAGGAAAAAAAAAAAAAAGAAAACATGATAGAGAAGCCTTCTTCTGACTTTGACTTTAAAAGCCGATAGGAGGAATCAAATGAAAGCATTCTAATTCAAGCAATCCCAAAATAAATTGGATTGGACATTTATGGTTCCACAGCAGATTAGGGTGTTTTTTTGGACTATAAATCACATCGGTGGGGGAAAAAAAAACTGTCATGACAAAGAAAAAAAAACAAAAACATATGAGTCACATTTTTGGGGGAAATGTAATTCACTAAAAACGTGACACAGAACGGTAGAGCTCGGACTAGCACCCAAAACCACCATTCCTTAATCATAGGTGCGTTCGGAAATACCGAGTATGCACTGCTTCATCTTGACCGTTCGGAAACTCGGAGCTTTGTTCATACGTGTCGTTTGATTATTCAGCGTGCACCAAAAAAAATGAGCGCAAGAGCGCACCCCACCTCTCTGAACACACCCCCTTCTCAGAGAAGTGTGAGGGCATCAGAGTGAATTTCCGAATGCACACCGTGCTCATGACAGCAAACGAGTTACGAAAACCTCCGCTTCTAATCACGTAAAAGTTTTTCTTTTTAGTTTAAAATGACTTACCTTCAATAGAATCCCGCGTCGCACTGTGGCCAACGGTGGAATCCCGGCAGGTTACTACGGCTTTTGCTGCTGGAAATCCTTGTTGTGGCGCAAGGAAGTCGCATGCTAAACTAGCGAAACGTCACATAGGAGTTGCTATGATGACTATTACGACTACGGCTACTAATTCGTCTTTTTCCATTTCCTCTTCTCTTTTCTTTTGACAGTTTATAAATACTTTTGATGCGTGACCAAGCAGCGGCTCAAAGATGGTGGTGATGAGTTTGCAATGTGGAAGGAAAAAGCCATCTCCACACAGGCAGATTCCAAGTCTCAACCTCACTATGAGGCAGATATGCTCACCACGACACCAATGGATTGCTTTATCAAATGCATATCTTACAAGCAGCGGTCTTCAACAATTTTATGACATTACGTTCTCTTTAAAAACTAACAAACTGCATGGCATACAATAAATAAAACTGCCTCTTAGCCGGACTCTCCTTAGCCACGAAACGACATGAAATAAATTATCTTTACTGCTTCGATAGTCGGGTCCACGGCGGTTGAATGTTACAGCGCCACTGTATTACAAATGGTAAGCAAGCAGACGCCAAAGGCCATCAAGACGAGCGAGGGGGAGGCTGCGCGTCTCCCACTGGGGGCTAATTTGTTTCCAGGCTTTTCACTTGATGAGACTTGAGCAGAGGAAATAATCAAGATCACAAAGCGTGAGGATACGGCAGATCAACTAATGGCGGGTCCCTAAAGCTCAGCGACATCATTTTGCTTCTACTGTGTAGTTTGCAAAAGCAGCAATTATGGGAGCGCGCCATCAACGTCTGCCACCACGTTTGCAATCGTCGTTTACAGTACATCTGCATTTCATGTGCAAAGCGCAGAGGGAGCGTGTGTTGCACGGCGGCTGTCGCAACAACCGCCGTGTCCATCGACGGCAAAATGTAAACACACGCAAATGTTAATGGCATTCGCATTTCTAATTAACCTTTGTGAATTCATCTACAAAACCTGTCGGGTATTCTCTGGCACAAACGTTGACAAGATTCAAATTTACATGCAAAGAATCGGATGCCCTTCAACACTATGTGTTTTTGGCGCAAAGCTTTTCTCCTCGTTTGTATTAAAAAAAAAAAGGCAGTTTCATGAATAAAAGAAAGCTTCGCCATCCAATGCATCCTAGCACTCCAAGGAAAAAGGCAGCATGATGTAGGGTGTCCCCGCGGAGGGCAAAACATTGGAGCGCAACTTTAAAATGTTACGTGGAGACAAAATAATCCCCCTCGAGGTAAATCTCAGTGACAACAGCGCACAGCAGGGAGCCTCCGAAACCGACGGCAAGAGCAACCGGAAAAGAGAGAACGGCGATTGATCTCACACGAGACTCGTCACCCACGTCGCCTCGCGACGACGGGCCGTCGGACTAATCGTCGCGTTCACACATGCACTGGATCAATGAGCTCTATGCAGAGCGCAGCAGGCGTCCAAACAACATTATTGATGTATTGCTGCAATATTGCTTGCATCCGCAAGCAACTGGGAAGCCCGGGGTGGGAAAGATAACATAGACAATGTGCTGTCTGTTGGATACAGTCAATAAATGATCAAACAACCTGGTTGCTATAGAAAGGAAGAGCGATGCAATCCTGCTGCGTTACCAAAGGTCACATGACAGCATTGTGGGGCATTATGAACACGTGGACTCAGCAAAAAAATATCTCAAGGCCAAAACAGAAATGTCGCCAACGCAGAGACAGAGGGTAATTGCCATCGAGTCACGGCCTTGCTGGCATTGATAGATGATCAAACATATTATCGGTGGTGAATAAAGAATTTTCTAACCAATTCAATGAAATTGGAAAATTCCCTGTGGCACAACTGATGATCTTTCCTGGCACACTGGTTGAGAATCGCTCTCTTATGTCACGCTCAGGCAACAGGTTTCATGGCAAATGGCCAACATGAATGGACTACACCAGATCGAGAAGCGCCCGATGTTGCTTAGAAAGTTTTTATAAAGTCATGATAATTAGCCTCATGGTGGCTTTTGTTTTAATGCAGCCGCCAAAAGCAATAGAAAGCCGACGGGCCATTTGCTCTGCGGCGGGGCTCAAATGATCCGAGAAGCTTGATTTCAGCACCACGGAGAGCGCCGCCGACGCTGGGCTGTTTTTTTTTGCCCTTGCGGGCCTCCTGCAGCATCTGCTGGTTGTCTTCTCAAACCAGAGCAATAATTCAACCCTCGGGAGACTCTCAAAAGCACTCGCCAATGCAGCGTCCACGGCAGGGGGGGGTAGTACATGCATTTAGTTTACCAACACACATCTGCGCAGATAAGGGATTCAAATACAAGAGCCGTTACGCTACCTGTCATCATTCTGAAACGTCTGGTCCCCCAAGAGCAGGTCCCTGAAGCGGTAGCGAGGTGGAAGGGGAGGCACTTCGGTATCCACTTCAGCCATCTTGAGAGCTGAAATGTCCAAAATAACACCAGAGTTGCTGCTGTTGTTCCTCTGCAGGGTCTCCGTAGAGGGCCTGCTGGATGACCAAAGGAGAGACTTATCAGCATGCTCAACATGTGCATCTGGAAAAATATTTGGATTTTGTTTTTGGGTGTAGTTGGGGGATTTTTATATTGAATGTTTATGAAATATTTCTGTGTGGTGTGTGTGACTTTGTTTTTCAAGACTTTGTTTTTCTGCATTTGCTCTGTGTTGTCATTAAAATTAATAAAATGGACACACTGGAGAAGTTAAAGATGCATAGACATGAACACGCCTGAATGCATTTATGTGCAAGCTGTAAACCGACAGCGGTGGCCGCACATTGCGTAAACAGTATCAAGGATGCCTTCCTGATGGTTACAGGGGGTGTGTTGAACCAAGTGCTCAGGGGAAATTACCTGTCGCCATGGGAACTCGATGATCGGCGTGGAGGGCTCATGGCTGCCTCTTGTGGACCATTCCGCAACGACGAATCCAACGTAAGAAAAAAAAGACAAAAGAAGAATTCTTTTGAGGAATAAATCACAGACGCTGAAAAAGCCATTCATTCATGCATTGTCTGCCTAAGCCGTGTTGATCTTATTTTACAAATGGCTCCACATGCCCACTCCTCGTGATTTATACGTCTGGTCACCCTGTTTGGATTCCTCTCTAAAGCCCAGACAGTGGGAACAATAGTTGGGGTAGTACGTTTCAACCTTGTGTTCTGAGTGGTTGGCCGCAGCATAACGTGGGCAGCTTTGAGTGGGCTTAATGGTGCCCGGGGTGGTGGACATCGGCAATGGAATGAGGCAGCTTGGGTGCTTCCTTCGGAGGAAGGGGGGGGGGGTGGAGCAGTGATCCTTCCATTTTCAAAGGAAATAATAGATGAGACACACTGGTAATAACTGCTTAACGGAAGCAGAGAAGAGTGCAGATTCGGGTCAAAAAGACCAATGGAGCAGGGGGGGGGGGGGGGGGGGGGGGGGGGGGGGGGGGGGGGGGGGGGGGGGGGGGGGGGGGGGGGGGGGGGGGGGGGGGGGGGGGGGGGGGGGGGGGGGTAGCAGTGATCCTTCTGTTTTCAAAGGAAATAATAGATGAGACACAACTGGGAATAACTGCTTAATGGAAGCAGAGCAGAGTGCAGATTCGGGTCAAAAAGACCAATGGAGCAGAGGGTGGGGAAAAAGACACAAGGGAAGTAAGCAAGCTCTGGTGTGTAGATGAATAAAAACGATAAAACATTTATTATCCGAGATAATTTCGTCAATTGCCCACCGTCCAGCCATGCATGCGTTTTCTATTGCGCTTGGCTCATTGGAGTCATGGATGAGCTGCAGCCGCTCAACTCGAAGGCACACATGCTAACCACAATTACACTGCCTTGCCCATTGCGGCACTAATAAAGGCTGATTGTACCCTATTCTATTCTTTAAATAAAATGAGATGTCCAAGCAAATGCATTTGCTTGGGTAATGCATGACAAAATAAAACTTATTAACTCTGAGCGCAGGGCTTCCCCACTCCAGCCGTTTCACAGCTCAAGACCAAATCTTAAAGTCTGATTCTTCACCAAGACCCTAATTTCAAGGACCATATAATGGAAAACTGAAAAGTCAATTCTCCTTCATATTATGTCATGCTGATGCATATTAACACCACACTTATTTAAAAGGAAACATTATTTCCATATTAATTATAAGACAGGGGATGGTGTCGTGCTAAATATTGCCATCATATCGATACTCAACACCCGCATTTTTCCAATATCGTGGAGTCCTAGGAAGGACTTACAAAAATAAATAAATAAACAAAAGAGCCGTGCCTGTCACACTCACTTATTTCTCAGTCAGATTTCCTCAAAAGAATCGCATCACTTTACAACCATGATTTATTATTTATGTGGAGCATTTGTGACACAAAGTAAGTTGAAATAATATTTTAGAGAACAGGATTTTAAAAAATGCTTTGACAGACCTTAATCATTGGTGTCGGAAGAGTATGATGTATTTAAAAACATTTAAACTTGGGGTTGACCTCACTTCGATTGGCAGCTTATACCATTTGCATGTATCTATCCATCCATCCATCCATTTTCTAATCCGCTTATCTTCATGGGGGTCGCGGGCATGCTGGAGCCCATCCGAGCTGTCTTCGGGCAGTGGCCGGGGTACACCCTGAACTGGTTGCCAGCAAATCGTACAGCACACAGAGACAAACAACCTTTCCTGCTCACACCTAAGGACACTTTAGGACGTTCCATTAACCTGCCATGCATGTTTTGGGAATGTGGGAGGAAGCTGGAGTACCCGGAGAAAAGCCACACAGGCACGGGGAGAACATGCCAACTCCACTGCACGTGAGGCCGACGTTCTAACATCTAAATGCTGCTTTACCATGTTTGCTTTGAACTCTAGGATACACTAATTGATCCGAGTCAGCAGAATCCAACTGGGTTTATATCCTATTCCCATTTCTTTTATATAATCAGGAACTACAGACTTCAGGGATTTATAGACCAGTAGCAGAATTTTAAAATCTATCCCACAGCTGACTGAGACTGGAGTCATATATTTAGAATTTAGCAAAACATAACAAAATACATAAACGTGGCATCAAGGTGAAAAGTCTATACGTCATTACAATTTTACACTGATGACCCAAGAAAAAAATGACCAGGGACCCATTTAATACCATGAACCAAGTTTGGAAAACATAGCACAATTATGGAAATTATTTATTCCTCTCATATTTCTACTACAACTCATCACAGAGTTAAAAGTAGAGCAAATTAAATAACTACATTTGGAAATACAAAAAAAATCCTCCTCAACTTCGTATCACAGCTGCATCGACACAACTGGACGAGCATTTGTTTCACAAAGTACTGGAACACGGTGGCCTTGTTTAGCTCCATTTACCTGCCTGCGTCCCCGTTCCCAATCGCGGTCCCATCAGCGTAAACTTGCTCTCCGGCGTTGCTTCCGTGACAGCGATTCTGCCCCACAATCGTGTCCGTGACAAAGCCGTGTCATTTTCTCCCCCCAAAAACGTCGCCGAGAACACACAGACAACACTCGGGAAAGAAAGAAGTTCCGACAGTGTTTGCGTAACATGAACGCACCACGCCTGGGTCAAGCTAGCCGCCTGCCTGCAGCAGTCATTCGTTCGATCTTTCTTCCAAGGTGGGTTGTGGCAGCCTCAAAAAAGTAGTTCGTCTTCTTCACCTCTGATTGGCTGACGCGCTATTCGGGAAAGATTTACAACACACCTGACGGCTCATTTGAATATCAATCCGCCAGCCCAACCCAGTTTCGCGTCAATGCGGAGTGACTTGCGTGTCCCTTAGCAACAACTTTGTTAGTTAGCTAGTTAAGCAACTAACATTAGCCTGCGTCGCCTCCTTAATTTCACTCCATTTCCTCTCCGTTCGTCTCTGAGCAAGCTACCGCACCAAGCGACGCCTCTTGTTGTCGACGAAGGAAACACACTGGCGAGATAATGCTGCTGTCAGCATCAGCATCTGCACCTCTGGAGGACACCAGATGAGGAAGACGAGGAGGAGGGTGGAAGGAGGAAGGCACTCATGCCTCATCCCGGAGGCACCGATGGACGCCACGCCATCTACCGACCAAGCAGTGACATATGTTTTGGTGGATGGACAATTTTTGTGTTTGTGGATGGAAATTGTATTTAAAATGTCATCTGGCTGCATTTTGGTGATCGGATTGGATCAAATCTTGAACATTGGTTGTTCAAAAGGGAAAGATGGATTCTAAAATTGGATTGGGTCGTGTAATCCAATCCTTGTTTTTATCTGGATTAAAAGAAAAATAATTTAATAAGGTTCATGTCAGCATGTATCAGTGCCTTTGTTCATCGGAATCACAGTCATCATGAAAAGGAAAACAGAATCATGAAACACTGAGTATTTATTATTATTATTAATTTGCATTGGATCTACATGATTCGGGTTATTACCACACACTTGTCTGCTAACTACTCTGTGAAATAAGCAATGAAATGATACTAAATTATTTTTTTTTGTAACTGGTTTTACTGTCTTCTGCACAACAAGGTGCATACAGTGCTTGATAAAACAAGTCATTTCGATCATGGATATTCCATTTTTATCGGCAAATTGTCCATTTTTGATGTGTCCGTCGGAGGTGCAATGCTGTCCACCCTGTTAGGATGAGGTAACTGCCCCTTGAAGAAAGCCTCTGAGATGTTTTCAGTGACATCACGACCAGCATTATTTTTCTTCGGTGAAGGCTGAAACAATGCATAGTGAAGAATATAAATTTACACGAACTGTATGCTTCATCGTTTTCATCATCGGATGTTGTCAAGATAAACCTGTCCACTCTGTCATTTGTTCAACTGCGCACAGTCGGTTTACTAACTGGAACATGTCAAGTGAACATTTTACATTTATTTATGAACGTGAAGCAATTGAGAAATGAAGAATTGCGACCATGAGCCAAAATGTCCACCCTGTCATCAAGCTCACATATTTTGCTGTTTGTATGGACACTTGCCTGCTTGCATTGCATTTCTAAAAAAGTTCATGTCTCCTGAATACAATGAATATGAAGTTCGATGGAAAATCTCAACTTTTGAGGGGTAACATGGGGAACTCTTTGTATTATTCGATTTTTTATATATATTTTTTGGTACTGCTTTAAACATCATTGGAGCAATGTTGTATAACTTTTGGTCACGCATGATCATACGTCAGACGAGCAAAAGGTTGCATATTTGATGAGCATAGGCATTCATGCACTTTCTGACTGGAACATTATGCGTCATTTTATAATAACTCGTTATGTCAGGGCCAATGCTCTCAAGATAACAGACGGAAAATCCCCACATGTTGTGGGCAGAGGCAGACAGATAGAAATGGGAGAGAATCCAGAAGAAGAGCAGCTCTGACGTGACGCCTGTTGGATGGTTTCCAGCACATTTCAATTTCTAACTGTAAATAGCTTGCGTATGACGTTGCTAGTTACAAAATTTAACGCATCGTCAGCCTGAGCGGTGGTTCCTTGCGTGCGCTTATCAAGAAAAAATAATGTGTAACTACATCTCAATGGCACCTCGTGGTGATTTTGACTCAATAACACAACTGTAGCTCACAGTTATCCCCCCTTTATAACTTAAAAAGTGCCATTGCAAACACACACACACAGCGTGAGCGGTTAGCTCTTTTGCGTCACAGTTTTGAGGTTTGGGGTTCGAATCTCGGCTTTTCAGTGTAAAGTACTGCACTTGCCACAACAACAAAACATCGTGAGATGCAACGAAGACTCAAAATTGTCTACAGGTGTGAATGGACCTGCCTCTTACCCCGAGTCAGGTGGGATAAGCCTCACTTAGTTACCAATCAACCGAAAGAGGACAAGCACTGCAGGAAAAAAAAAAAAAAGGTAATTTTCCCGTTTCCTACCTGGAGCTGCTCTGTCCTCCACCATCTGTCTCACAATGGACCCCCTCAAGTTGAAGAAAACATTCATTGTGGACGCGGCAGCGGTGTGGGAGCGGGGCTGAATGGTCGACGTCTCCAGGAAAGCTGTTTGCGGCTCCGCGTGCGTATTCCTTGTGCTCAAGCCAGCCTCTCACCGCGTTTCAGCCCATTATCCTCGAGGGGCGACAGCGCTCGGAGCGTCATCGTTTTTAAAGCCCACACAGCCACTTATGGTGTGCCGTGCTGCCGGCGCATCTCACCCACTTTCTCGCCTCACTCTGGAGCTCCATTTCCTCCAGATGCGTCCGAAACTTGATCTGTGCGAGGCTTGGGTTTATGTTTGCACAAGGAAATCTGTGAACCGTGTAGCAATACGCATAGAGAAGCACAGATGCGACACGCACACACAATGCAGTAGGATCGTAAGGAGCATGATATTATGCACAGTATGGCATCATAATTCACGTTGATAACATTCTGTATTCTCTCTGCACTGATTACGGCTTCTCAAAAGCTCATATGTCAATTACTATTCCCGATTTTTTTTTTTTTACTCTAGTCTTTTGCTTCTTCTGAAATGCTGTCACACAGAGCATCAATAGACTCGGCAAGTCCAATGGCCCAGTCTGAGACAAGTCCGAATCAAATGCCAAGGAATCCGAGTCAAGTCCGAGACATCAACAAAAAAGTCGGGACGGGAGTACTACAGGGCGGCCTGGTGAGCCCAGTGGTTAGCACGTCAGCCTCACAGTGCAGAGGTACCGGGTTCAACTCCAGATCCGGCCTCCCTGTGTGGAGTTGGCATGTTCTCCCCGGGCCTGCGTGGGTTTTCTCCGGGTAGTCCGGTTTACTCCCACATCCCAAAAACATGCATGGCAGGCTGATTGAACACTCCAAATTGTCCCTCGGTGTGGGTGTGAGCGTGAATGGTTGTTCGTCTCGGTGTGCCCTGCGATTGGCTGGCAACCGGTTCAGGGTGTCCCCCGCCTACTGCCCAGAGACAACTGGGATAGGCTCCTGCAACCCCTGCGACCCTTGTGAGGATTAAGCGGGACAAAAAAATGGATGGATTGATGGAGTACTCCAGTCCCGGAAAAGGACTGAGGATAGGAAAAATCGAGTCAGGGTCCACATGTCAACATCACAAAACACGTCACATGCGTTTACATATTAATGGCAAGTTGAAAAAAAAAAAAAAGGTTAACTACTGTAGAATACATTATTAAAACTTCATCACTCACTCGTTCACATTTCCACGTCAACTTTTACCCATTTAACTTTAACGATGATTTCGAGGCATAACGGAAGTCCTCGTCCTCACCTCTGTGATGCTCGCCGCACTGAGATCCAGCGAGGTAGGAGAAAACATCACGCATGATTTTGTTTTTATGCTCCCACTACATTTTAACTTTTGCTTTATTTTGCCCCCAAAACGCAGCTGTGGGACTGTCAAAAGATGAGGCCAGTGATTCTCAAAGTGTGGTATGGTGGCTCTTTCTAGTGGCATGCACAAAATAAACAAACAAATAAATAAAATCAGTGCTTGAATACAGTTCAGTTGTATTTCACTTCTTCGGTACATATTTTGAACAAGGCGACCAGGTCCTCATAGTTGTATTTTTTTTTTAAATAGTTTTTGCATGTTGTTCATATTAACTGTCTATAACTTCTTTGTAAACCTTCCTCTCAACTCTTCTTCCATTATTTTCTTTATGAAACATCGTTTCGAAATCCCTGAGAGGTTCCGCTTGTACTTTACATAATGCACACAACTCTTTGTCGCTTCCTCTTATTGCGTATAGACCACCTCCAAAAGATCCATTTTTCTATGCCAGGCAGAGGACTTAAAAATAGCAGTGAGGTAACCTTTTAGCCTATAATGCGCTTCAATTCAATGCGCGGAGTTGTTTTGGACCGGCGGTTTACTAATGCGACTCCTTTTTGAGCAAACTGTTCAATTATTCAGTCATTATGTTGCCGGGGCTTGAAGCTTATCGCAGCATGTCCCGCAGCGTGCCACGGGCATCCATTAGCCGATCTTTTCTCTATCAGTTCTCTGTCCCCGCTCATGTAATGACGTTCCATTGTTAGGTCTCAGTATAAAGCACGGCCACTCTGCCTCCTGGATGCTTGCTCTTCATACTTCCAAAGTGTCTAAAAACAGACAAAAGAAGGGAAGCGGTCAGACAGCGAGGCACTCCGATGCAGGATGCAGCCTCAAGGCTTTATGTAGGAGCCTCGCATGAATCACAAAGTCACGCCGTCTCGACGCGAGTCCCGCTCTGTCCGCTTTTTTATTATTTTTTTTATTTCAACATTGTTGAAAGTAGCGTCAAAGTGAGCCGCATCGCGGCGGGAGCATTTCATAAGATAATCTGCAAACTCGGTCAACATTTGACATACATTTCTAACAAGCTGTACCTGTCGCAACTTACTGGCTCGTCTGTTATGTCCTTTGATGCTATTTATTCAACCTGTGAGGTGAATTTTTTATTTCTGCTCCCCACTCTGCATCTCTTTTAGCGTGGATGACAAACAGAAATGATTACACAACGGAAAAGCTTGTCAGATAGTGTTTTTTTTTTTTTTTAATTGTCATTTTTGGGCATGTTGCTTCCTGCCGCACATCGAGCACGTGTCGGAAATCGTCACCGCCTGTGCCAATGGACAATTTTGTGCATTCACAGCCTCTGCATCTCTGGACTTGCGGCAAACCTCACAATATGCATGTAAATGACAAAAGTGAATGTCATTTGTAAATGTAAAAAAAAAAATAAAATACTCTGTGCCGATGCAAAGTACAGCAGCAGAATTGAATGAGATCCAATGCCATGCCAGATTACAAAATTCCTTTTTGATTGAAACCATCAGTGACGTTTAGATTTTTTTTTTTTTAATACAAAAAGTTTATTATTGTAGTTTGCGGTGGCGTAGAAGTGCATTACACATGTAAATATGTCTTGGGTGAGATTATACAAAAGCTACACTAGCCTGCCAAAAGAGTAGAACTCCTGCTTTGCTTTGATTCTTTTTCATTCGGTTTTATTTCATAACCTTTCGTGTTCGCGTTTTTGTTCCTTCATGTGAGAGAGTCCTCTCTTGTCCTTTTCAATGGTTCTTTTTAGAATGCTTTCCTAGAACTTTTTGAACGGGGAGTATAAAGCAATGAAAACAAATGAAACAAATGACGCAAAGCATCTGCTTACAACTAGTTCGCGCACGCGGAATGGAATGAGCGCGCCACGGTGCTCATTACGAGACGCAATTGACTACGGCTCTGAAATGAAACCGTCAGGGACTGCCGAGTTTTCTCCTCTTTACCTCCATGAGTTGCTTTCGCCGTTGTAAACCTCGATGGTTTTCAAATCGGAGACTCCATCAGTGCCTCCCACCGCCAGCAAAGCACCGTTGAACACCACAAGAGACACCTGGAACAGAAATATTTCATTCCACTCTGTGTCACCTCTTAAGGAAAACGTTCCCGGCTTGGCCTCAACTCCCGCACGCTACTTACGTTGTCTCTCTTGCTTCTCATGCGTTTGACAGGAGTCCACCTCGTGGTGTCCGGGTCGAGGCGCTCCGCCGAGCACAGGCCCAAGCCGAGGTCATCTCTGCCCCCGGCCACGTAGATGTGGCCCAGGTACACGGCGCAGCCGGCGTTTTCTCTGGGGGTCGACATGTGGGCACATACGGACCAGGTGCCCTCTTCGGGGTTGTATTTCTCCACTGTGGAACGTTTCTCGGTGAGCGGAAGGCTTCATTTGCAAGTCTACTGCGACACGTGCGCGCTACAGCACGAATACAGTGACGCGGTCATTGTATCTAAAGTGTCCCCATAAGAGCAGCGACGGCTCTCCATTTTTAAATGAGCCCAAATGATTGTAGCGGAGTTACAGTCAATGAAAAATTCAGACCTTGAACTTGACCAAAATAAGTTGTGGGAATTTCACGAGCGCGCACTTCTCACAGACGAAAATAGTCAAAACGGGGTGGCAGAACGACATCACTGGTTGTTTATCTTTGGGAAGGGCAGCCTCTATGTATGTGTGTGTATGTGAGCAAGCGCAAGCGCAAGAGAGAGCGAGAGAGAGAGAAGGAGAGACCACGCGAGTGTGTGTGAGAGTGTGTGGTCCTGTCCACTTGACGTCAAAGTAAGCAGACTTTACAGGACTCAATTACACAACGAAAGTCAGCATGTCAGGGGGTTTTGTTGTTGATCTAACGTTTATATTTACCCCTCCTGTGGTGTGAAACTGGTGGCCATGTTTTCACTTTTAAAATAAGAATGAAAAAAAAAATTCTCAAGATAATGTTTTTGGGGCCGCAACCCACATGTTTTCACTTTTAAAATAAGAATGAAAAAAAAATTCTCAAGATAATGTTTTCTCATGGATTTTAATGACAGCTTAATCTGTTGATAATGTGGTCGATGATTTGATTTTAAAAAGTTAGAATTCCCAATTCTCTCTGAACAAAGAGAACTTTTTTTATTTCAAATTGACAGGGCAAAAAAAAACAAAAAAAAACAAAACAATTTAGATTCGGTTAAATTTGGTCCATAACATGTCAGAAAAGGGGCAAACATTGTTTTCCAAAGCAAAAGCCGATGTTTGGAAATGTCTTATTTTGACATGGTGCAAAGGTAATGCCTGCTTTACGGTTGAGTGGCTGAAATTCGGAGCATTTGCTCCATTTTAAACTGAACAAAGTCTTGAAACTTGAAAAAGGACATGGATTTTCGTGATTATCAATTAATTTGATTATCGATGACTTAATCCTTGCACCTCGACATGTTTTGCATATTTCAGTAATTGCAGGACCTCAACAGTGAGGCAAACGTCCGGATCCCGACTTGACTGCGCTGCACTGCTCAAGTCGAGTGGCAACTGTGACGTCAAACATCGTATGTTCTGAGAGTAGTTATTTTCTTTTTTTTTTAAGATGAAGGAATTTTCCCAAAGAAAAAACAGCCGGGGTAGACCAGTCTCCATCATTAAAACTTTTGATAACCGCAAAGTTGAAAGCATGATATAACCTCCTCAACAGTCACGCAATTAATTGTAAAAATGATGTCCATGAAAGTGGTCGTTTTTCTCCCCTCTTCTTTAAAAAAAAAAAAAAAAAAAAAGAAAAAAAAAGTGCAAAAACACTCCCTCTGCTGCATGCTCAGCTAAGATTTAGCCCCCATTTGCTCGTGTTGACATCCCGTCTAATGGTGCTTTGGACGTTTTGAGGGGCTTTAGACTCATACTAGTTAGCTTTAGACTCATACTAGTTAGTCATTTGACTTTGCAGGAGGAACAAAGTACAATGATTTTTTTTTTTTTCTGCAATGTTCCCTTTAATGCTGTGAAGTAGCATCCACTTTTTATGACCCCAATAAACAGCTAGTGGCAGCAAAGCTGCACTGGTTAATTAAAAAAAGGTCAAGAATAAGCCAAGTCGGTGAAAAACACTCACGCCGCGGCCAAATTTCGACTATGAACAGCGATTCTTCACATTTTGCTCGTTACAAGCAATTAAGGCATCCAAGTGATTTCGAGGCTCATATTTTAAGGTAGAATTTCCAACATTTATCACATCGAAGCCACGATTCGCGAAACGTGACCAGCACCTGAATTCAGAGCCAGGACTCCATCGTTGCCTCCGATCACATACAAGTGGTCACCCAGCACTGCCGCGGCGGCTCTGGCGCGTCTGGTCAGCATGGGCGCCTGCTTGCTCCACGCGTTCATCTTTGGATCGTACCTGCAGCAAGCAAAACAATGAATAACAACACTCATTTAAACACCTACTTTGTTAGTCATCGTCAGAATAAGTGTTTTTTTTTTTTTTTTTTCCCGAGTTGTCTTCAACTCTGTTACGTAAGATGCTTTTGAGGAACAACGGCACCCATAAAGCATTCAAGACAGTGTTTACGTATCACTCGCCACAGTCTTGAATAATGTTTGGAGACTATGGAAATTAAAAAAAAAAAAAAATCGGGCCGCAGTACCTCTCCACGGTATTTATGGCCGCAATCCCATCGTGTCCTCCAATAGCGTACAAGTATCCGTCCATGGCCACCACGCACACTCCACTGCGGGGGCTGCTCAAGGGTGCTACATCCGCACTCCAGCTGTCTGTGTCTGGGTTGTACCTGCCGGGGTGGGGGTCGGGGTGTCAGAGTGTGCGCTTCAGGCAAAACAAGCAGCTAGCTTCTGATGATAATGCGCTCAATAACAGGTGCGGTATTTGTGCTAGAAATGTCGCGGCGCTGAAGGACTCAAATTGCAAAGGTCACATGACCTGACCACACCCAGAATACAGTTGACCTGTGATTGGTCGTTTCCGGAGCCCCGAGCAACTGTGATGTCATCGCCGCAAGTGGGAAAATGGCCGCTCCCTCGGATGGCTAAAAACGTGTGGATTTTAGGTGCCACGCTCAAAATGCGCAAACGCAAAGGGAATCATGTTGAACATAGTGGGGACGCATAGAACATTTTGTGCATATATTTTTTAATTAACTGCCCCTGTAAGTGCAGTCAAGAAGTTTTACATGTCAACATCGACCATGTGTGAACTCAAATGTTGCAATGCCGAAACAACGACAAATATCCTCGACCGTTGAGGATCTGAGTGTCGTACTTGTCGGCGTATCGTATCGGCTTGACATTCTTGGCTCACCTAGGACTAGAAACATGACCCAGTATTAGTGGGTTTGCCAATGCCAAACAAAGTAAGGAGAAAAAAAAAAAGCCCATTTTGTGTCGCCGTCATGTGATACGGGCTCTCATTCAACGCCTTATTTACATTCACCCCGAAGACTCACTGGCAAGCCATCTCCTTTTTGCCCCCCAGTTAGCTGGCATAGCCTCCAGAAAATGACGCACACTTGAGCATCTTCCTCATGACACTTCTATTAAATTGGTGTTTGGTTGAAAGGCGCACAGACAAGCCTTGAAAATCCCCACCGCAGCACTCGTAGTGGCCTTCGGGGAACGCCTACACTCAGGTAGGCTGGAGTGGATGTTTCCCCAACTCTTTGGCTCATTTTATTAAGAAGTGCCTCTTCTGTGGGAACTGGAGGGGCACCAACCGCTTCAAGCTATCTGAGCGCGCTGGAGCCAAGCATATAGCGTACGTGCGTACGTGCCCTGGTGAAAATGTCGCACATGACGCATGTTGTCGGCAAGGCCACAAATAAATGCGGCCTTCATGCTGACCTCTGCTGTTCGGTGACTTGTCCGGCGACAAATGTCTGGAATTGAGAGTTATTTACAGTTGGCGCAAAACACGAGCCAGCACATAGCCGTCTGCAGCCGTCTCGAGATTGATTGATTTGTCAGAAAAGTGACTCCAAAATGGCCTTCAGTGCAATCGAAGGTTGTAATGTTCTCGCCAACTTTCGTCAATATTTCCTGCTTGCTTGTGCAACATAGGAACTGGTCGCAGCACAAACCAAAGCTTTAAAACGCAGCATTTGGGAAGAGCGCAATAAACGTTGAATTAATTCTGGCAATTGTGTGGAATTGGCACTTGCAAACAACGGTGACCCTGTTGATTCAGTCTAATCAAGTTTATGGTCTCAACAAAAAAACGCTGATCAGATGTGGAAAATTGAGCTACAGCCAAATGCCGCATGATTCTGCTCAGTGCAACAGTGACATGGAAACGGGAGTTCAGGACATTCATCGAGGTTCTCCCGTCATGTTCATAATACATTAGAACCTACCGATTCATTAATCGTTAATTTGAAAGAAAGCTGATGTTTCGTCAATTCTCCATTCCTTGTCATTTAAGATCTAAACAGGGGAGCCCCCACCACAAAGCAGCTCACCTCTCCACATTATTGTAGCATCGGATGTTGTCTTGCCCACCCACTGTGTACATCTTGTCGTCCAGGGTGCCGACGGCCACGTCACCCCGCTGCTTGACCATGCGAGCCGCTGTCCTCCACTCATTAAACTCAGGATAGAACTGCTCCACCGGGCAGGAGGGGTCGTCCTTGGTCCATCCGCCCACTTTGAAAGCAAAACAGCAAAAGCTCCATGACATTTGTCATGATATTGACAAATCTATCTGTCACTAAGTTGCCCATTACAAATGGAAAGAGCAAATGATGCACAGATTGGGTCACTACAGTCTAGTTTTACTTTCAAATACATCTATTGATGTAAACCGTATTTTTTTGATGAGTTGATTTAGCTTTTTTTTGTCAGTAGCTGGGAGGTTTTGACAGCAAAAAAGTGAGCGTGGACGCAATACAATCTTGCTCTTGGTATTCAACGACACTACTTTCACTGGTTTTAATTTAGCTTGTGAGCACTTTTGCCACATCGGACGCCATTTTGACCGCAGCAGAAAGCATTGTTAAAAAAAAAAAATGCGAAGAGCAAAGTAAGCAGCGGTAAAACCCCCGTGATGCCTGAAACAATCTACCGCTTTTGTTTTTATGAAGGTCATTGAGGAGGTAGTCTGACAGAATGCCTCATCAGGATGAAGCGGAATGTCTCCCTCGATGGAGACTAACAAGCTGGCACCATCATGGCGACACGAACGCCAGCTGAACTTTCTCCCATACGCCTGTGGCTCTTCTATATGGATTTAATCCTACCCCGCATAACGTGTCCCACGAACCTAGCAGACACTGACCCACACGACCCGAGCAGACACTGACCCATAAACATCTTGTCGGTGACGACATCTTTGGGGAGAGTTTTGCTTTGCCGTGTGCAACAAGAGTCCGACGTCGAAGTGCGGCGGTGGGGGGCACCTCGACCGCCTTTGCCGTCCTCGATGACCATATCCTGATTTTTTGGCAACTCAATGGATGCCCTGCAAAGAGGAAATAACGATAGGAATTGACACAAAGATGTGAGAAAAAGCCACGCCCATTTGTGGACTTGTTGGGCGATACATTGAGGACTGATGCCAAAATCGTCTTTTCCAAAGAGAGTCATGCTCAGCTATGGTGGATGTGCACGAAACCAACCCAAGGCTAAAGGGAACTACAGTACTCTAAACGCACTTTACTAAGGGGCAGGGTTTATTTTCGAAACTCATTCAATTCGTATGCTGGATTGCGACTGGAAGTGGAGACCACTAAATTTATTTTTTATTCCGTATTTAAGTTTGGGGACAATAAAAGGGACAATTACTTTTGTAAATTCAGATTTTCACGGTGTGGGGCGCCGCCGCCGCCGCCTTTGCCGTCCTCTATGACCATATCCTGATTTTTTGGCAACTCAATGGATGCCCTGCAAAGAGGAAATAACGATAGGAATGATACAAAAATGTGAGAAAAAGCCACGCCCATGTGGACTTGTTGGGCGATACATTGAGGACTGATGCCAAAATCGTCTTTTCCAAAGAGAGTCATGCTCAGCTATGGTGGATGTGCACGAAACCAACCCAAGGCTAAAGGGAACTACAGTACTCTAAACGCACTTTACTAAGGGGCAGGGTTTATTTTCGAAACTCATTCAATTCGTATGCTGGATTGCGACTGGAAGTGGAGACCACTAAATTTATTTTTTATTCCGTATTTAAGTTTGGGGACAATAAAAGGGACAATTACTTTTGTAAATTCAGATTTTCACATGAGCGAAACTTTAAATATGATCTCAGCCTTGTTAACTCTACTTTTTTTTTTTTTACACTGTATCATTATCTCCATGGAGGAACAAATCATGTTATAACTCTTTCATTGGATCTCATTAAATTGTGCATACGTACGTGATGTGCCAGCGAGTTTTGAGGGACTTGAATATCAAAATTATGAGCATTCTGGAAGTTTAAAAGTCGAATTACTATTTTCAGTGGTAAACAAGCAACAATGTTTGAACAACGTTTTTTCCCCCATTTCTTCGAATTTTAGATACAAAGATAATATAATACAGTTCATTGGAGAGCAACAAGGAGCTGCTTGTAGAAATACAAATAATTCAAGGTAAGAATTACTGAGTCCGTTTTTTTTCTTCTATTGACATGATGACAGCCAATGACAAATGTGTACAAAGTTGAGCCCCTTACCCTTGTTCATCGTACACTCCCATGTTTTATCTCCTAAATAGGTTAATTCCAGTTTTCAACCTGCACCAAGGCTGTCTTTCGTCTGCTCTAAAACAACCAGCTCCCCCACACTTTTGTACTCAGAGTAACCCTCGGGCGGTTCAAGGAGAAATCTCCCTCTACTTACCGATGCAAGCCCCCCTCAAGTGATTCACTCTCCCCTCACCCCATCGGTGCAGCTTGAAATACAAAACTACTCCTAAACATTTTTATTTGTCAACTGTCACGCTGTTGGAATTTGTTTTAGTATTAGTTTTATTAGTTTTTATTTATTTGTGCTATTTTTGTCATTATTTTATATATATATATATATATATATTTTTTTTTTTTTTGGGAGAAAACATCTACTGCAATGATGGAATCAAAATATGTTTTGCTAAGCTCCTCAAAGACAACACAAGCAAAAATTAGGTACATCATCGTGAGAAAATGTCTTTCACGAGCCTGACGTTGGAGCTTTGGTAGAAGTGGCTACTCAGCCACTATATGGAGTCTTGTGATTGTCTCTTTACACCATAATTACAATATCCGTTCACTTACAGGATTATCCTCCTCACTCACATGTTCCAAAAATGAAAAATTTATATATATATATATATATATAAAAACCCCAAAACCTCAAGTTCTTGTCAACGTTTCAGTTCAAGTCAGCGGTCGTCAATAACTCTCATGCCAACCGGAGGTCTCCAACATGATAACATGGATTATTGATTATTTCCATGACAGCCACATCCAAGTAAGCCCTGCGCATCGAGCGCATGGAGGCAACCAATCTGTGCAGCAACACCTCACTAGGTGCAAGAACGACGACAGCAGGAATGTTTCATGCTTGCCTGCCAAATGCATGATGCGACTCACAGATACTGATGCAGAGCGCCGAATTTTGACATTTGAAGCATTATGCATGACAAATCTCACAGTGCACCAAAGTGGCTTCCAGTGATCCATGCCACAAAAGTTAGTAGTAGTCCCGATAGTCCTGCTATCAAATAAAGTCGCATGCAAATACAAGCACCATTGACCTGACCCATGCAGTCACAGGTCTGTGATTTCAAAAACTGAAAATGAAACTCCATTTGTCCACAGACTTCTCAGCGGACTTGTTCTCAGAGCTTTCGAGATGGATCCCGACATCAGTCGGTGGTTGAATGACGGCGTTGACGACTGAGTCACACCGAAGGCGTTAAAAGCAAAAAAAAAAAAAAAACGCTTATACTGTAACGTGTATTACTAAATTGTGCAAAAGTGACCTTGCAATCACCAAGCTGTTCTATTGACTCATTCGACTGGAACGCTTGAACGTTTTAGCTGTTAATTTAATCCGGAGTCCGGATTTCGTTGCCCCAGTCTGTCAATCCGTCGTCACCTTGGTTGTGTCTCTAAAGTTCAAGTTCTACAATGACTCATGTCCCGACTCATCTCATTTGAAGAAATGAATGGCCCAAACCCTCAAGATGCTCCAAAAGCAGCCCGTGTGTGAAAACTAACCCAAGCGATCCCCAAGTCAAACTGACCCGAACGCACCAGGCGAAGAGAAGACGGATCCCACTGATTATCCAGCTCGAAGTGGCTGAGATTTCCCCCGAGGCCCCCGCTGAGATGATCCAAGTTTGCCTTCTCGGAATCAACACGAAAACACTTTGGCTGGCAGCTTTCATTTGGTCACTTTATGAACTCGGCCGCTTTTATGCACCCACCCGGAGGCATTCCGGTGTGAAAGGCCTCATTTTCACGAGGTCAAGGGGTTTGCTGAAGCCTGGGAGGGTTTCAAGAAAAAAAAAAAAAAAAGACAGCTGCCTCTGGACCAGAAGCGGCTACTACACGTCGGGTGAGTTTGTTTCGTGGCCCACACTGATGCAGAAAAATTGAAAGAGTAAAATATACTTTCCTCCCGTTAAAGTCAAGCATCCTTTTTTTTCCTTACGCCGAAAAAAACATTTCACTCAGGGTGTGCAGCTTGATCGACATGATCCTTTTTTTTTTTTTTCTTTCCTTGAAGTGGCTGTATAAATTAAGAGCACACACGGAGGGCAAGCAAGCTGTTGATCATGCGCAGGAGCTGGCGCGAAGTAGCTGATAGATATTTCACAGGAACAGGTGGATGCTCCATTTTTATCCCTACACCGCCTCACGATGTCGTCACATGATCGAGCTGGCGACCATCTACCGACCTCCTGTAAACGTGCTGAAAAGTATACAGCACCTCTAAAATGGAGACCTCAATGACGACAGTTTCACGAGCATCGGCAAGTTTTAACCAGGTGACTTTTTCCACTTCCTCGCCAGTAGACTTCCTCAAAAGGAGCCGACTCAACGAGGGGTCTAGGCTAGAGGAGAAAATACACAAAAACTACATGAAAAAAAAACTTTCAAAACAAGTGTGGGACTCCAGTTGCAGATGGAGTCACATTCATTGGACTGCGCATCTCGCCGTAAAGGACAGTTCGACGTGGTTTTCAATACGTGGGGTGTGAAATGCATCAAGGGCGGTTGGATTTGAAAGTGGAACGATTCGATTCGCTTTGTGTCATTGGGCTTACTATTCAATTCGATATGGTACGACTCAATTTGAGAGTATATGACGCAGTGACTTTTTGGTTATTTTACATTTGAATAAACTTGTCAGGACGGTAAATGTGCCATTTCCTTCTAAGATGTATCTCTCTAATAAAAGACGATTTGGTACATCATGCTAGAGATGGGCACTTGACCCTATTTTGACAGTCCGTCCTCCGTTCACGACGTTGGGACCCCCCAAAAAAGGGTCCGTAGCTACTTTGTTATGTTCGATGATTGTACATTAGGTGGCTTTGTTCCTATTAAAATAGTGCTGAGATGAAATAGCCTGTTAAGAAAATACATTGTTATGCTACATTCTGGCTTTGTTATTTTTTTAGGGATGGACGAAAACCCACGTCTGTGCTGGCTTAATCCCGTTAAAAGAAAAAAAAACTTCTCGTTCCCCGTCCCAAAAATGGGCGCTATCGATTCAATTTGATTCAATTCGATGGACCGGCATCTTTTAAATCAAAATACGATTTTCCAGTACACGCCAATTTTTGTGACACTCCTAAATTTGTTATTTATTGATTCAACAAAATCCACTTTGTCTGTACACAACATAATGAAACACGAGTTCTTTTTTTCTTGAGATCTAGTTTCACATAATTGCGCAACAATGTTTTGACAATTATAATTATATTCCTCATGGTAAAATGTATTCATATAAGGTCAAACAGCCTCCTGGAACAGATTTTGTTCAAGGGTCCACCAGAATGTTAATTCTTGTCAGATAAATGTGAAAGAAATGGTCTTTGTATTACTGATGGCCACCATCAGTGACAATTTTTATGCCTAAGTGTGACGTCAATCCATTAACATTAAAGGTCAGCCTTGCCATGTCAAAAAAAATGGAAGACCTGCCACTTAGTCAAGAATGGTGCTTCTTTTGTGTGTGTGTGTGTGTGTGTGTTACTGTATGAGAGGTTGTCAACACTCAGTTGGGGTGAAGGGAAGGTCCTTAAGCTGGGACAAGAAAATGTTTATAAAATCTCTCTCACCTCACCTATCTCAAGAAAATGAGCCCTCATCCTTCCACGAAGCAGTGATGTGGCGTGCCCTAGCGTCCTCTGGCAGGTGACTTCTCAGAGTTTTGAGACGTCTCGCATACCAGAGACCTGCTAGCCAGCCGGCCGACCGGCCCCTGAAACGCTAAACTTCCTGCAGCTGTCCCATGGCCTGCTCGCCAAACGGATTTCATAACAATAAAAGCAAGGCGCCAACGTAAGTGAGCTTCAACCTTAGCTTGCCATGAAATCATTGCCTCGAATGTGTCAGGGGGTGGCAAACTGAAAATGCTGCTTCAGCATTTCGTGTTGCTGTCCCATTTTTGGCCGGCTTGTTTTTGGACTGGAAGAGGATGGAAGACAAATTTGGCTTTTTGAATATTTAATATTTTGAATCAAAACAGTATTATATTAACAATATTATAGAGTGCTTTCTTTTTACACTTTCTTTTGGGGAGAGGCTTGGAACGGAATAATAGCAATTCCATTCATTTCAGTGGGTGAAGCTAATTCGAGAAATCAGTGAGTTACGAGCAGGGTCACGGAACAAAACAAATTGATAACTCAAGGCACCATGAGCTTAGTTTTGCACTGGAACAATTGAATAGTGGCATACTGGGGAGGCCAGGCATGATCATTGACACCACTGGATAACCGAGGGACCTTAGTGTAGAAACAATCCTGATACCAACAGGGGGAAAAAAAGAAAAAAAACGTTCCACAAAAATAAGAAACAAGCAACGCAAGAATTTTTCATCTAGTCTAAATGTGACAAGTGGTATGTCTGTATAAGGGTGTTGCTTTAGTGCGAGAGCCCATGTGCAAATCAAAGATATAAATGGAGATGCCCTTCAACAACCTCTTACGACACCCACGCTTCACGCGCTGCGCATTTGAAAGGTAAGGAAAGCGTTTATGGCAACAATCTCAAACCTACAAGGTGAGAAGAAACTGCACCGAAAGTGAGATGACAAGTCGCCGGTCTCCAATCTTCCAATGTTCTCAATCCCACAGATGACGTTTTCGACAACAATGCTTCATTTTAGTTTAGTTTTTATTTGTTAGTTGTTGTTGTTATTGTTGTTTTTTAAGTGTTTGTTGAGTCCCCCCAAAATATGACAATTCATTCTGTATAATAAAGTGAAGGTAAAATAAAACAATGATAAACTGCTCGGTCTTCTGGCACCCTCTAGTGCCCAAACTCTGCGCTGCAGCGCCAACTCAAACAGCAGAGTTCAGAGCTTCCCCCGCCCCGCCCAGCCCAAGGACTCCAAAAAGGCTGCGGACTCGAAGTCTCTAATTGGTGCATAGCAAAGGCAGTACGTACAAACCACAGCCAGAACCACAACTTCCAGGCACTGAGCTGCGGGGCAATTAGCATGCTCACAACTGTTCGGTGCCTCTCATGGGCAACTCCAGAGGGGAGCAGAGACCAAACCCTCTTAAGAGGACTGGTTCTGGAGCCCGAGCTTTAAGTCAAGGAGAGCCCGATTATAACTAGTTACTAGAACCTCTCGAGCTCACACACCAGCACAGGCTTTTTACCAGCCGGAGGGGTGACATTCCACACCCCTGTAGGTAGCTTCTGTGGTGGTGAGGCCATGGGAAGGGGGAACCACATTGACAACTACAATGACACCTAGTGGTACGAGTAATTGTAAAGTGCCAAGTATTACTGCTGTTGTAGTTTTCTTTTTGCTGAAGGCAAAAAAAAAAAGTTCAAATGAGCGGACACAATTTTTTTTTACCTAAATCAAAATTAGGAATGATATAAAAAGGCAAAATAACTCCATTATTTAGTCATTTGACACTGCGCATCGTTGCCCAACGCCGTGAGCTTTGTAATTAGGCACGAACCACCGACACATAAGCAGCATGTGAAGGTTAAAGGTCAGGGTTGATCATTTGAGGAAGTGACAGCTTCTCAGCTGTCACTTGTTGGAAAACTAGAGAGGCGGCAGGATCGCATCGCCACCTGAAAAGGCAACAGGTCGGTTCCCTGTTCGGTGTCTTTTTTAATGAGCCCGGTTAAAAAGTTAAAGCCTCTTTCGAGACGGCATTCCTGTGTAGTTAACGCTGGCATTTGAAACCTGTTGTACGCGAAATCATGTGATTTACTTGGACCTGCTGACAAAAACGATGCTGGATGGATTTAGATGTCAAGATTAATTGGACTTTGTAGGGCCAAACGATAAAATAAATACCCAACGTAAAGTCACCCTTGATTGCAGTTTAGGAAACATATTGGACGTCCTGCGCTGCTTTTATTCACTGCATCATGTCTACTCCTAAACATACACTGCATTTACTGCAAAGGAGATTCATACATACTTTTTCTGGGTTTTTTCCTGCCATCTAGCGGCCATCAGAAGTGCGCTCATGCATTTCACTGGACACTAACCTGCAAGCTGACTCATATAGTGGAGGCAATCAGCCAAGCAGACGACAGTGATTGGGTTACTCTGGGTAATTCAATGGAGGCGTGTGAGCGTGCAGTGGCGAGGAAAAAAACCA